CAAAAATTGCAGCAAACTTGTTGAAAATAATGAAAAACAGAACAGTTACCGTAGCCTCTGAAAGTTATTCCATTAGGGCACTCAACCATTGGTGATTTATGTTCCCATCATTGTTGTTTTGAAACAGCGTTTTTCCCAACTTACATAGACACACAGACTCTGAGATGTCAGTGGAGCTGTAGCCTCCAATGACCGCCTTCTCCACTTCACGCAAGTTAAAGTGACGCCATCATTTGGCGGTAGATGGGACTGTCCCAGCAGAAGCTGTATGGTAGCGGGCTTCTTGGGATCATTCCTGGGGAGTTGCAAGGAGCCAGGTTACTCAGCTCCTAGGTCAGTCACTCCAGATCACATTGAGGTTGGTAGGTAAAATATTTGAGTAGTATGTATTGTGGTATAAGTTTTGTTCAAGGCGTTCTAAATTTTGTCTTCGTGTAACGAGCAAGTGAATGTGTCCTATGGTTCTATGGTTGTCTCAAGCGGCTGAATATACCCGTGGTAGTCATGAGAACGAAGAAGGTAGCGAACAAAGCTTGTTTTCTCTGATTGTTCCTCTTGGCTAATACATCACAAATTTATATGGTAGCAGAAACAGCGTGGAAAAGCTCAAGATCGGGGCTACATACACTTTAGAGAAATAGAAATCAAAGGAAGGCGGGGGTTGAATGAGGGATAGGTCAATGGGTCACGGAATCAGGTGTGTGACGTCAATGTCAGACAGACCGTATGTGGGACCAGATGTTTCGTAAGCCAGTTCAAGTTCAGAGGTCGCCCAAGTTTCTTTTGGATGCAAAGTTACGGATCCAGCAATCGCCTCTGCGGTCGATAGTAGTCTAGATCGTACCAGTCGTGATCGGTTCATAGGTACCCGGTATATGATGCTGAAGGCTTGTTCCTTGTCTATAACATGACTGGTTTCGGTCAAATGTGATGCAATCGCGCTTGAGCACGGTTTCTTCCCATTACCACTCAGAGATACGGAATTGTGTTCTCGCGTTCTGTCCGACAAATGCCTTGTCATGCAACCAACATATGATGCTCGGCACGCGCATACAACTGAGTTCACACAAAGGCTGGTGGTAGAACGTGGCAATTGATCATTCAGGCAGCATTTGGTTATGGCTAAAGATCATCCTCCCCTCACAAAGTCAGTGGTACACGGAGGCATGCTTGTTTGCATCCAGATTCATGCTTTAACCGTGACATTTTCAACTGTGAGAAAAATATTTTCTTTAAACAAATAGCATGTGTATGGTTGAACGCATTTTGTTGGGAGGAAAAACGGATGATGAATGAGCATGCCTATGCACTGGTTTCACCTATCATGAAAGCAATTTTTCCGCGTGTGCAGTCAACGGTGATGCCGATGTTTATTACACCGGAACTGTTCTCACTGTGGGCGGTAAAAATCGGAGTGTCAAAATGTCAAAAACACCTTCGGTGACAGCAAGAGAAATAGGTGAACGTGAAAAATAGTCGTTATCGTCCAGTTTCTGTATGAATTTACTCGAAACCGGAGCAAATGCAGTTGAATTTTCTGAGGAAGCTGACAAATCTTGTGGGTTAAGACTGGCATGTTCTCATGAAGGTTGTGTCTGTAGAGCAAGAGTACATGATTACAAAGATATTTTGTGAGTTTTACTGAACGTCTGGATGAACCTAGCTTAATCTCCCAATTGCGATGGTCCGCTTCCTTCAAGTTGCACAAATTTTCACTTGAAATGACAGTTCAGATGTAACAAAGTTTGTCTAAACTTAACACTACTCATAAGGTTGCTGAAAACTCTTCGGCAGCCCACGAGCGGTTTCGTCCTCCTTGGAGCTCATCGAGTATCCTCAGTTTTCCGAGTTTGCGTCAACCGGCCACGACAAACTGTCATTCGCACATGAATTAGTTTGAGTCTCTTGTCAAAACCGAATTCTTGGGCAAATGATAATACTTGTTGAAATCTTTTCAATTTGGGCTTAAGGAGAACTTGAAGTTGAGAGAAACTCTGGTACTTTGCCTAGCTAATGAGTTCCAAGAAGGATGAAAGCTTTTGTGAGCTGTGGAAAACTTTTTCAGCAATGCTATGAGAAATGTGCTGGTCAACACCATGTGAGTGCTTTGAAGTTCTGGGGCATAAAAGACTTTCGATTGAAACGCTTATCGTGATGTGGTATTCACTGTTGAGAACCCCCGTTCTTTAGGTAAAGCGCTTAGTAAACACGTATGAAAGAACACGTTGTATTGCTTGAGTAAAGATGCTTACCTGGTTCAAAATGATGAGTGGAAATAAGTCAATCAAACGAAATAATCAATGAAATGTGCGTGGAGACATCTACGCGGCTCGTCTAAACTTGAACGCGGCTTCTCCCATTACCCGGGAAAACCACCCTAATGGACTGATTCAAACCAGTCGCTTTTTGAAATTTCTTGGTCTAAAGAGATATTATACTACTAATAAACGACTTCAAAAGGTAAAAACTGAGAGCCTGATCTCTTAGGCGTCAAAAGGGATGTGTTCTGAATGATTTGCTTTGTCACCTCTGCTGCTCTGTCACGTAAACGTGAGCTCACATATACAGATGAGTATTTTAATTGTGGTCAAGGCTCACTGGATTCTATTTGGAGCTACAATTCGCCCTTCAGCTGTCAGCTGCTTCCAGAAGATACGTACAGAAGGGAAACGGTACCGTTCGTGTCCTAATTGATGTGGCTTCGTCAGGCAGTGGATCCTTGGCAAAAGGCCAAGACGTAGTTGCTTTATACCAAAATCTTTTCACGCTTTACCTATCTTTGTGGCCTTCTTCAAATTACCACTCTTTGTTTACTGTGACAACCAAATCGGTAACATTCTAGATGGTAAACATTTCCTTCTTCTATAGTGGAAATAGCCTATTTGAACCGGGGGATCAAAGAGGATCAGCGGAACCAACAGTGGTCCCGTTTACGTTTCGCGTGATTAGGCCACATCTACACCACCTTTCTGTCTGGATATAGTACATTCAGCTGTCCACGTATGCTGTTTCGTGTCAACGGGAAATTTCCTTGAAACCAAGCCAACCCTCCGGTATTTTTACCTATACATTATCTGGTTACCAGGCAGCTAGCTCCAGTTTGCTTCCAGTAAGGTCAAAACAGTTTCGAACATGAACATACATGGAGTTGTCTGGTAAAACCACACTTAAATGAATTTGTGATGAACATGACTGATACCCTATTCGTTATTCTCTTGTTTTAATATTCCGTATGCTGTAGACTTACGCCAACTCCAATACATATGTGCTACTTGTTATGCTGATCTGAATTCCGGATTTCTAGTTCGTCTGGTTATACCGATATGCGTACAAAACTTAATTCTCACAGAATTACTTTGCGGTAAGAAACTGGGAACAATAGGTGAACCCATATTCCTCACTTGGGAGCATTGCCAATGCCAGGAAGGTTTTTGAACGGTTTTAAGGAGAAAAAATCTGCGTCTGTTGACTTAGATGGTGTAGTCAAATGAAAGGGTAAGGCCTAAAAACACTTCAGAACTTACAGAAGTAAACACGGCCGTTCAAACGAGAATGGTGTGGCTATGGACAAAAATATCTATCCCGCAAAACTCCAAAATTGCAACCAAAAATCTGCCCAGTGGGTTTCAAGCGTGCGCTACGCTACCTGACTGAGAAGTTCTGAATGGTGAGTCGATCGATCGTCACAACCAGGACAGTTACTAGGTCGTCGTTCGATGAGTCAGGCACACCAATCACATCGCTCTAGTGTGAACACGTTCGCCTGTTCAGATGTGATAATTCAGATCCGTCCAACGTGCGTTGGTGAGGTAGTGGTTACACGCTCGCCTCACATGTCAGATGTCCGCGGTTCCAATCCCGGCGCGGGCATTGGATATGCACTGCTGGTGAGCTCTAATAAGAGCGATACTCGAGTCCAGTGCTTCCCTTTGGTGTGGACTCACCGGAATAATTACGGCCGTTCAAACGGGAGTGGTGTGGCTGTGAACAAACCGGAATCATTATCCTACGACCAAAGCCAAGATGTGTTTCGGCAGAACTTACAAGGACCAACGACTATTAATCTCCTTGCTTCACTTTTCTTCGACTGAAAAAAATGGGAACGGTGTACGTACCGAACTGTAATGCTTTACGTTTTATTCGCCTCGGACAACCTTTTCAGAATTGCGTCAAGTGCCTCAACGAAAGCACCGGCACATCTAGCTACATAGCGTTGTCTTAGTTCAGTTTTAGACCGGAGCAGGACATCTGTACTGTGCTAAATCCATTTGGGTCCCCTCATCATGACTTTTGGTTTGTTTGCTATTAGACGATTTGGCTGCGAACGTTTTACCATCACACTAGTTGATAGTTTCAATGCGTTGTCAGTGAAAAACCCACATAGAACTGAATCTGTTACAGTACTGATAGCAGATCAAAGACGAATCACAGGAGTTCTGGGTCTGTCCGGTAATAGACTAGACAGCTTCTGAGTGAAGCAGCCACAGCTGACTGATCGATCCAGGACCAATTTCAAAACTGCTCAGTTGAATCAACACCAAAATCTCCATTAACACACGAAGTTATCAGTCAATCATGGTGCAAAACGAAAGGCAACACTGTTGCTATTGCACGCATTTGACGACTTTACAAAATTATACAAAGAGGGAGCTTCAGTTCGACCCCCTTTTTCAAACAAATTGCTTAACTTTAAATACAAGAAAGAACCGCACAAATACAGTAACATAATACTGAACTAATGGACAGACAAAGAGGTCTTTACAACAATCGATACCATTGCAGTTTGTCGTACGGTGTAGCAATCCGTGCTTGGCTTCGGTTTCCTCTGTCTCAATACACTCAGTTATCATGGCTTTACAACTCCAGTGATTAAGCCTACCACAACACAAATACCTTCTATAATTCCCCACACACTTCCCACCTACTTCAAGAAACTATTACAAGTTTTCTATAGAGGAGAATTATGGCAGCTCAGGTAGCATAGATGGTCGTTGGTTTGTTCACTGAACTGAGCAATTTGATTGCAAACGTTTCATCACCAATCGGGGTGACATCATCGGTACGTTGTTAGGGAGCATAGTGATGGGTCGGTGGTTGTGCATTGAGTAGTGTTGTGTGTTGATATACATGCTGCTTGCCGGGGTTGACCTTAAATCACGATTGGTTGTTCGGTCGGCCGGTTCCATTGGTTGTTCTGTTATCGATGACCACGTGAACAAACCAACGACCATGTTCTTCAAAAACGCGGCCGACGCACCAGATATGGAGTCAGTAGTTTGGTAGTTTTTGCCCTGAATTTAATCCCTGGAGCAATCGCATAGTGAATAATCAAATCATGATGGGATAGTCTATAACACTGCTGCATATAAGCCTACGGAATAAGTCGGATCTGGGATCCAATCATCGCAGAAGCTGCATGCGTTTATTTGCCTTTTTTGTTAGGTTTTTTCCAAGCATTGCGTTAAAGGAAGCGCTTTTTGTGAGGCAGGTGGAAACTCACTTTCTCCCGCAGAGAAACGAACAAGTCTTGAAGCCAGAATAACACCCAAAGACTTGTCGTCTATACTGGTCTTAGGAAAATCGCCGCAATAATTCCATGTGTCGCTGAAGCCCTAGAGAGACAGAGCACTAAAATTCGTATACATTTTTGGAAACGAGTATCGATTTTGTTCACTTTTACACAGTGTACACATCAATAGGATAAGGCCGTTACAGCTTCATGGGAATCTGATTAAGTGGATGGTTCACCTGACCAAAGCGTGTATCGGAGATATGCCAAAACGGGTTTCGAAAGACTTTGCGTTTTGTTTAATTCGAACTGGTTTATCCAATCATAAGCTTGAAAGTTTTGTTGTGATAGTGAGGTGCAAGGCTGGTCCTGGAGCGGTCCCGCAAGATGCATCTAAATTTTCTCTTTTGTTCACATCTTAGGAAACACCACATCACATGGACAGGTAAAGTGGGATGGAAATACCAACAAAACTGCAGATGGTAAAATCGTAACAGAGGTTTGTTCTATTTACACCACATTTGAAAAATATAGTCTGGCCTTCTGTTTGAAAAACTGTCGTTGCACTCTGGATGGCCCCCCACAAATGTGAGTTCACGAATTCCTTAGAAGTAAAAATCCAAGTAGACTTTACAAATTGTCCACAAGCACTTATGTATCCATTCTAAATTGATCTACAAGCCAGACCCACCGTGCTTCACTTAACTACAACCGTTTTTTGAATGACAGGCCGAAAAACGTTCTCATTAAGGGGGCTACCGCAATAATCAGGCAAGAAACAGACCGACAGAGGTCGTGTCAGAGGATGAGATAAACCAAGGGCGAATTTCGCAAGCTTCAGCCGTAAACTGTACGAATTAAACATTTCAGTTTCATGGGTGGACAGAGCTTCAAGTGTATCTGGATGATTTCAGTGTGACTTCAAAATGGCTTCACACACTAGTTGTTTGAAGGATGATACACCTTGTGTGCCAGAGGTTGATTGAGAGCATTCCAAATATATCGATGCTTTTCTACCGTAAATTGTTATGCTGAATTCTTCTGGCTGACATTCCCATCTCTGAGACTCTGAATGGATTGCTGGAAAAGAAAGTTATCGCGAGTCACTCAAAATATTCTTGGAACTGCAGTTCAGGGTCATGGAACAGTGTTTACCGGAAAGCAACAGAAGGAAACTAAATAGAACAAAATATCACATCGGTTCTTTTTACTAAAGTCCTGGTCATTTGTGGAAACCTAGCTGAAGTCATTCACTAATTTAGCCGCACTTTTGAACGACAAATAGTGGACTATATTTGGCCATAGTTGATCAAGAGACAACGTTGCCCAGAACCCGCTGCTTTGTAGTGAATCTGTTCATTGGAATCAACGTAGATTACTGACAAGTCAGAACATAAGTCAATCCACTCACCCAGAAGTTGACTTTACCACCCGCGGTTCGGACTGACGGCGCTGGAGATGCCCGGTGTGACTCGGTGTACTGTGACTGATCACTCATATTTTACCCTGGTGTAGTCTGATCAACGCAATGTCCTGTATAGACTTGGTTACAGTGAGTTCTCAACCGGTGTAAAGCGTGGCATCGGGATGCGCCGAAAAAACACTTCATATCCACTGATTTTTCAACACGCAGGTGTCAAGTAAAGTCAGATTGAATAACAGTAACCCAGGTTTTCTCCTGTGTGTCATAGTTTGGTCCTTGTTCGCGAACGTTTCATTAAATGACTTCCTGACTGGCGAATAAAGTCAGACAATCTCAGTAAATAGGATACCAAGGTTAGAAAACCAGTCAACGGTTCAAGTAGAACACCAGGTTGATGGAAACTCGGGGGACTGCACCTATTTGATGAGCCCCAAGAAGGGCAAAACCAGTCGTGCGCTGTCGAAAAGTTTTCAGCAACCTTGTGAGTAGTTTCCTTTATGAAAATATACTGCGATATCTCGAATATCGTGCCAACCGAAACATGAGGCGACCTGTCTGCAGCACAGTCAGTTGTAGATCATAAACGAGAGATTCAGCTGAGTCTTTCGTTAAAACTAAATTGGTTTGCAAATGAGTGTATCTCTCGAAAACAGTCTAATTTGGGTTCAAGTAGAACATAAGGTTGACGGAAACTCGGGGGCTGCGCCTACTTGAGGAGCCCCAAGAAGGGCGAAGCCGGTCGTGGGCTGTCGATGAGTTTTCAGCAAACTTGTGAGTAGTTCTCTTTATGAAAATCAATGTCTTGTTTTTGCTTAAAATTGGTATAACATCCATGGCTGGCTGCGACAGTCAGCTGTTTTTAGTAGAAAAACTGTACTAAATTTCGGTAATTGATCAGGTGACTGCCGTGATTGTTCACCGAGCTTGGCAAATATTTTGAAAACATTTGCTAACCAACTGCAGAGAAATCATTGGTGAATGGACCCCTCAAACCAAGCGGCGTAATAGTGGTGACTATTCGGTTGTGGACACAACGCTTTTAAGATTAGTTTTCGTCCCGTGAAACATGCCAAGAAAAAATCGCCAAATGGAATGAACACAGCAGTCAAATTAATAGGTGTGAATCACATACGAATTGGGGGGATTAGTGTCTGGTTGTCCATTGACGCCGTTTCGAACACTCGTGTGGGTACTATGCGACTTCCACCAAGAACAGGATCGCAATCGCGGTGATTTCTTAGAAATTGTGTTGCTAGGAGAAAATTCATGTATTTCCTAGCATCCACTGAAAATTTGGCACAAAATTGACTCTGATTAACTTGGAAAAAAAAGATACACCAATATTAGCGAATTACACTGATTTGTGGACAAATTTTTTGAGGGAGACAGAAAGGTGTTGGATGAGTACAAATGCACACAACTCTCTTGGTTTTAAATTCCAAATTTCTAGAAGACCTTGTTTGTCTCTATGTTATTATGTAAACCCTTTGATCGAAGGAGCAAAATTTCGCGTGCAGAGTTTCATTACTTCATAGGACGAAAAATATTTGAAGGTAAGAGCACTTTTCAGTATTACTCAGTTGTATATTGGCTTCTGAGACTAACATTTAAACAGCACAGGTTTCAGCATTATGCCGGTTACAGTGCTTTTGGTCCTCAGCCCTTTGGTACAGATTTTAAAGTTTGTCAGCTCAGGGACCACTTATCTCGAAATTTTTAATCATGTATTAATCGAACTTTACTTAAACGTTGTTGTCTTAGTTTCAAAAATAGCCTTACAGAGCGCCCTCTGCCAAACTGATATTTTTCTTGAACAATTGTGTTAATAGCCATGGCAACAAAATGGCGGACACATTTAAATTGTAGTTCTATTACGTGTCAGTTAGAAGTTGCTATGAGAACAGAATGAAATATGGTCCACTTCACTGTACTTGATATGAGGCTGTCTGCTCGGTTATTCTTAGATATAAGTCTATCAAAGCAGTATAATCCCAACCATCCTCCATGTGAACGGTGAGTTATTAAGAGACAGGTGACAATATGAGGCCCACGCAGAACAAAGTTTTCGTCTTCTCTCACCAAACTGACAAAAATAATATGTAAACTAGAAACCACTTGCTGCAAACATCCCATCTGTTACAAGAATTAGCAGTTGTGGATGCACTAAGAACAAAGCATTTTTTCTCGGGCTAGGGGAGTAAATTTTGCCTAGAGCATAGCTAAACCCACCGTTTTGTGACTCGCCGGCTATTCCTTGGCAGAAACTTGATTCGTTTTAAACGACAGAGTCGTCTAACCAATTTTCCTTCCGTGTATGTACAACTGTTCTGGTTAATACACATCAGAGGGGAGGGACACTGGGCATCCAAGTCGTGACTTAAGCAAGGCGGAGACATCATCGTTGTGAACTAATGGTGTTTCTTTGAATGGCGACGCAACGTCTGCGAGTCAGTTAGCAACTTTGGCAAACAGACGGACAGCCGTCTGGTGAACTAGCATACTCACCAAATTCTCCACGACGGCACGATGTTTCCAGTTGACAGTTTTCGGTTTTTGACCTCTATATGGTATGACGCATGCGATTTCATGTGTTTACTAGTGGGTCAATCTTGAGTCTGTTTTCGTATCGTTGTTCACTACAAGTGTTGTCGATTAAGCTCAGGGTTGCGGCTTTATCGCAAGGCCGAATTAATTGTACTGCGAGTCATGTGCATTGCTGACCAAGCTTGATTCGCAAAGTGCAAAAAGCTGAGTGGAATCTTTTTCAAAAACACTCATACGAGGGTGGTTTGAGTTTGTCTCATTTGAAGGTATCACACTCAAATTGCAATTTTACGCACCATCTGACAGGTGGTTTCGTCTGGCTAACTTCTAAGAGTTCTGCGGTTGTGCAAAGCTGTTTGTCGTCTCCAAAGTTGGTTACCAGCCATACCCTATCGACAGCTGATTCGTGTGACTTTAAGATGTATGCATAATGCAGTGGCGCATCCCCTCTAACTTTTGACATCCCCGCACAGCCTTTCCTCTACATGATGGTTCTTTCGACCAGTATTCGAAATGCCATGAAGCAGGTAGAAAATGACTGATTTGTAGGTTGTAATTGCGGGGATCTTACTGCCTCCAGGAATTCCACAATGTCTTGTCACTTGCAGTTTTTCAGAAAGACTTGGCTAGAGAACAGGATGTCAGCTGGATAGTTGCGTTGGAAATAACTAGTAACAGTGGAGATTTTGTCCTGTAAGTGAAGCCAATCTATGCTAAAAAGCCGAGGAGCACAGTACAGCTGTTTCATCCTTAATGGGAATCATCAACAGTGCGTATCTCATGAAATCTCCACAAAAAACCCAAATCTGCTCTAACTACCAAAAACCTATAAGCAGCTCAGTGGAAGAGTAAACGTCGCCCGTCCATATGAGAACCTACCCACGAGGTTGCTGAAAACTCTCCGACAGCTCATGACCGGTTTCGCCCTCCTGCTTTGGGCTCATCATGTTGGCGCAGTCCCCGAGTTTCTGTTAACCTTATTTTCTACTTGAACCCAAATTGGACTGTTTTCGAGAACTACACTTATCTTCAAATCAGTCTGGTTTTCACGAGAGGCTCACTTGGATCTCTCGTTTATAATATTCTACGACTGAAGGAGGGCAAAACCGGTCGTGGGCTGTCGAAGAGTTTTCAGCAATTTTGTGAGTAGTTTCCTTTATGAAAATATACTGCGATATCTCGAATACCGTGCCAACTGAATCATGAGGCGGCCCGTCTGCAGCACATTCAGTTGCAGAATATCATAATCGAGAGATCCAGTTGAGTCTTCCGTGAAAACCAAGTTTATTTGCAAATGAGTGTACTCCATGTGAGAACTTGTTGCTCGAGGAGCCAGTCAGTACGTGTGACACGTGATGTGTATCCCGTGACTGAAGGATGAGCGGCGCTATATCCTGTCTAAGTGCGAGTAAATCACACCGCTGATCAGCTGCTCGTGGCCGAACGGTTAAGTGTTCAAACTACTGGCCGGGAGGTCACGGGTTCAAGACTCTCCGGAGTTTCGTGATTTGCACACTGCGGATGATTTCCAATAAGGATAAAACAGCCGTTCAGTGCTGCTGGACTTTTCAGCGTAGATTGGCTTCAGTTACGGGACAGAATCTCCACCAAAATCCCAAATCTCCTCACACTACTAACAACAAGTAACAGTATTGAACGCAAAAATACGTCCGTGTTCTCCTGTACGTTCCGATTTTGTTACTGAAGATTGTACTGCTTTATAAGAAGTGGGTGAAACGCTGAAGGAGTAACCATTAAATGAACCCATTTTGAAGACTGGGATAGCAGTCAAGGCATTTCAGTCCACTAGTATTCTGTCTTCTTTCCAAATCTTTGTTCCAAATCCACCCAAATGAAGTTGATTTCTTTGTTTTCACTGGGAGAAAATAGGACAAAAGCATTCACAGCTGACAGTTTCCCAAAAGTTTCAAAGAATGCATGACAAACTCAGAAAATGTCAGAGCACTGGACACGTTTGCGATTTTGTTAGTAGTATAGCATTTACGTAGACTGGACAGTACACTAACTAGCATTCCTCATCCGCGATCAATATATTCCTCGGGATTAATTGCCGGTTGCTAATTATTACTATTATTGGACAACATCCTTATCAGTCACTAACATTAACGTTGACCAAATCGTCAACCAATGGAATCTAAAACACCATTTAGGAAAAATTGTGGTGGCAATCGGCAGATTTATTGCTGGGCAGCGTTTCCCTTTTGACACAAAACCTTCGTCAGACCAAGTGGTTGAAGGAGACCATTCATTACCGAATGGAGTCGGATTAATAGGCAAATAACTTATCCCCTGTTGCTGATAAAAACTTGTTTTATTTTGGAGCAGATGAGGTTCACCGATACCAAGGTTGTTTTGGTTAACTCCTTCTAACGAGATGTTGTTTTGTGCCCTCGATTTGTCAAGTGTTTTCTCTTCATCGAATGACTGGCTGCGGGTTGCGTAATGGACGGTAAATAGGGGAAGAAAACACCGTTGGTTTGGTTGGTTATTGATTAATACTGAATAAATCT